TTCCAAATCCGGATTAGCGGACCGGATGTGGAAAAGTGAGGGACTAGTTGATGGAGTGAGAACCCCGGCCCAAGAAGGATTGGCCCAAGAAGGGAATCCAAGATAAGGAACGTGGGCTAGCAGTGAAAGAAGCCCAGTGGGAACTTGGGCCGAATCCAGGAGTCGGCCCAGGCCCAAGTCCACGAAGGGACGGCTCAGAGCCGTTAGGCGAGCGTCGAGAGGCCTCATTTAAGAAGACCCGGCCCCGGAGCCGTTGGAGGCATTCAAGGCAGGACTCGGTCAGACCGTTATGGATCCAAGGAGCCGTTGATCAATCCGGTAACGGCGCCCAACGGCTCGACGATTGTAATTAGCCTTGAAGTCAGTCATTAATGGCCTTCAAGTCGGTAGGAGGGGAGCCTGCTATAAAAAGGCTCCTCCACCCTTGTAATCCAGACAAGTTTATCCGGAGAGAAGAGAGAGATACACTGAAAGCTATTACGAGTACTGTCATTTCTCTGCAATTTTGTGTGAAAGGTGAATCGACCAACTAAGGTTGTGTTGGACCTCCCTGGGCCTGAAAACCCAAAAACCAACATAAATCTTAATATTTGCCAATAATTGAATGATAATTTAATTATTAATTTAATGCTAAAAAAATAAATTAATTAAGAACTTAAATGGCATCAATATTCCAAAACAAGTAATTATCATATATTTACCATTTGCCAACAATAATATACAATATTAAATATGGTAATACTGATATGGAAATATTTAAACCACATTATTTCTATTTACCAAAATTTAATAAGTAAAATTAATTATGAAATAAGGCCAATAAATATATATGGTGAATAAATATAAAAGTAAATTGCTTTAATAGGAAATGTACCAATTGCAGTAGCAAGATTGCATCAAGATTCTAAAGCCGCATCAAGTTGCCTATGCCGCCTGCCTCTCCGTCGGACTCGTATATTAAATCAATTCGCCAGAAAAAAAAATCTGGCGAAACAAACGATGATTCTCCAGCGCACAATTTCAGCAAGTGAATCGGCAAATAAATAATTTCAGGCACAAATTTCAGAAAAATTAAAATCCTTCTTAATGTTGAAATTGAATTAGTAGTTCAAAATCAACTAAAATTAATTTTTAACCGTCTTAAACGGTTAAACCAATTAAAAATAATTCATTCAAAGTATACATAATATTTTGCTTAATTATATCAAAAGATATCTTTCATATGCATATTTTGATGAATGTAATTGAAAACCGAAGCATGTACTAAACTTGATGTACATAACATTAATATTGTTTTAGTCAAAACAATCAACCAAGCAGAGATTATAAAGGCTCTGATACCAAATGTGAGATTTAAATATACAGAGCATAATCTACGAGAAACTTAACTCGTAACAGCGGAAGCGGAAGCACTGTAGATCTCCAGCCATGGTTGATATCATATTGTGTTGCCTCTTGAACGGTAGATCTGCAGAATAGGGTTAGCCGTTTTGTCTCATACTTGACTCAGAACCCTAGATGGTGTACTGGTATTTTCTGAGCAGTATGAGTACCATAACTTTATGCTATATAATGAATGTGTCCTGTATCCCATCAATACAGGGTTTATATAGGCATATGGGTGGAATACACACTTAACCTGATGTCCAGTCCAACCAATTACTTAATGGGCCTAGTCCACTTGCACCACATAATTAAGGCCCATATGGGAAAGTCTTACAGTGAGAAGAAGAGAGACTAGGGACATGTAAAACATCATGTAACTTAAAAGACATAGAATCAATAGCTAACGAAGCGGAACTAACATTAACAATAGGCAAACATGTACCACTGCCGACTCGCAGAGTCTCCGGGCCATCATAACGTGTTGCAGAAGTCATCAAAGAAGAATCAGGCGTAGCATGATTTGTAGCACCAGTGTCAGGGAACCCCTGATGAGGACCGTTGGAATCACCATTATCACCAGAGACGGCCACATTAGCCTGAAAACTCAGAGCCCCTGAATAACGCCGAAAACAGTTGGCTCCCGTGTGACCAAAACATTTACAAATTTGACAAGGATCATCATAGCGCCAAAAACAATTGGCTCTCGTGTGACCAAAACGTTTATAAATTTGACAAGGATCATCATAGCGCCAAAAACAATTGGCTCCCGTGTGACCAAAACGTTTACAAATTTGACAGGGATCATCAATGCCACGTCGTTCACTGGACTGCTTCTCATACGGTGTATCTTGGTTTGATGCCATCGGCTATTGCTACGAAGCGAGGTGACGTCGTGTCTTTACAAGAAATTATTTTGGTTTGTGCTTCCGTTATTTTGGCCCTCATAATAACCCTAGCTAACTGATACCAGATGAGAATATAATTGTGTTGTATTCAATAATAATGTCTGAGAGTACAGAGAGCGAATATATAGATATGCTAGATAGAATCCTAGTCTAACACGAATAATATAGTTCTAGTCTAATATGGATAATATAGTCCTAATATTAAAAAGTTTGGACTATACTATACTTTAAGGTACATTTGAAACTCATGTGAGTTGCTATCTTCTTTAGAAAGGCCTCAAATACAATGTCTCTAAACCTTATGTGCTTTCTATTTTTTCCTAGATACATTGGAAGGGCTATGGTTCAGATTTTGACACATGGTAACCTAAGGGTTTGAGGTATAATTGAAAAATGTATGTTATTAATATGTATTTTATTTTATGGTATGTAGTCACCATCTTTCTATTTTTTAAAATACAGATTATGAATTGCTTTTGATTTTGTTAATATCTTTTTTATTAATGGATTTGTAAACTACATTTTGTAATGTAGGTATCAAATGAAGAAAGTGGTCTTCAATCTTTACTTGGATTATTCTGGGTTGAGCTCTGTACAGCAGCAAGCAGTCAACAAGCCAAAGCTTCAGTGGATTCCCCCATTGGGTTCAGCCAAGAAGGAAGAATTGGCAGCTATGACTCCTTTAATTCTTTCTGCATTACATAATTTGAGTATGTAGTTTGGAAGGCGATACTTTTAAAAAGTATGTTTCACAATTTTTGGTTGATTTAGTCCGGAGTGAGCATATCTCTGGAGAAGTTGAGCTAGTTCTGTAGACTTTCAGTACTTGAATATGTAGACTTTTGTACTTGAATATTGTTTGATATTATTATTTGACAAATATTTGTTATAATTGATTTTCTTTTAAATTGAATGTGTATATGAATTTGTTTGTGGTTGCAATGAAAATTTGAATGTAGGGAATTATATTAAAAAAAAATTAATGAGAATCATAAAAAATAAAATGAAAAATTTAGTGGCAGTTCAAAAATGTCACAATTATTAAATAAGAAAACAATTTTAAAAATAAAAATATATTTTAGCGGCGGTTTTATTAAAACTGCCGCTAATATTTATGGTAAAAATAAAATAAAATTATATTTTAGCGGCGGTTGTATAACTGCCGCTAATATTTACAGTAAAATTAAATAAAATGTTTACCGGCAGTTATATAAATGTCGCTAAAAGTTAACAAAAAAAAATGATTAATTTTTCGCGGTGATTCACGAACCGCCGCTAAATGTAGTAAAAATCGCCGCTAAATGATTGACGAACTAATTTTCGCGGTTGTAAAAAATCGTTGCTAAAGTCTTCGTGACACACTATTTAGACGCGTTTGGATAACCGCCGGGGAACGCAATAGTGACGGTTTTTAACCGCCGCTAAATGCCATATTTGGTGTAGTGCTAGTCCAGGTGTGTGCATCTGACCATTCCTCCGATCAGCAGTTTTCATTTCATTCTGCACCCAATTGTTTATTTCAGGTTTGTGGTCTGGAACGTTTCTATTATCAGTTTCACCCTTTGCTCCCAGGTGCTGATTTCAGGTTTGCAAGTTAGTTCTTTTCTAGGTCCACCAACTGTCCCATAAGAATTGAAGCTAACTATTTGCAGTCTGCAAATAAAGAAGAATATGCCAAGGCTTAAGCTGATGCAAAATAGTGCATTACCAGAAACTTTTATTGTAATTGACTAGCCCGTTGGCCTGTTAGCTCCTAACCGGTGAATTGAGACAAAGAGACAAAGAGCAGCATGAAAGTAAAGGGACAATGTAATGTATCATTCTCATTCCAACCAACTTCTCAATACAATGATACAACATATATATAAATACAATATGTAACACCAAATAATAATGGTGGTAATAATAATGCCATGACCGTTACATCCATTTTGTATTGAATGTTCATAATGTCCATATAATATATACTTATAACAACTTTATAATAATTTTAAATTTCAATTTTGATCCACTGACTATTGAATTTATATTTTTTCAAAAATGTTAATTTAGTACCTTGACTATGCAATTTTTTTCAATTTTGACCACGCCGGCCAAATTATCGGTCAAATGTGATTGAAAAATATTAATAAACAAAATAATTAGAGTATTTTAATCATTTCACTACTCTTTTTTTCTTCTCCGGCGAGTCCATTTTTTCCACCATGCTTTCCAGTGAATGCAATGAGCGGGAATGCACGTGCCGATCCGAAGCGGCATACCGCCATCGCGTTGAGCCCTCAGACGTGGTTGTGCTTTGGAAAGGTCTAGGGTTTGAGTCCTACTCGGGTTAATGTAATTTTTATGACATTTTACTAACTATTATTAGTAGTGAGCAATATATATATATATATATATATATATATATATATATATATATATATATATATATATATATATATATATATAACATTCTTTTATATTAATAATGAGATGTATTTTATAGGTTTCATATTTTGTTATTAATATTTTTATAAAGTTTTGATATGTTTTATTTTTTACTCATATCCAATAATATTTATGATTATACTTTTTTTAAGTGTTTCATTTTTTTTCAAACTATCTATTTTGTTGTAATGTTCCGTCCTCACTGAACAAAAATTCTGGCTCCGCGCCCTGCTTGCCAAAATAAAATTCCAAAATGAAAACAAGGCAAATGAAAATAATACTTCATTTCCTTTTCAAATAAATATATAGCATATTGGCCGAATTTTGGTCAGTGCATGAATTAGAACTTCCTACACTACAATCTACTAAATTAGTAGCCGAAACGTCGTAACAAAACCTTATTTCTGTTATATACGTCCTACCATTAGAAGCTGTCCGGCATATAACCGCTGGACGCCTAATATTAGTGAATCCCCGCTTAACCTGAATTTGACTGAATGCCCCCAAAATACTAGTAACGGTTGTAGGTGCACTATTGTCTGGGAAAATTTTCCCGCGTGCAAGGATAGTAGTTATATTGTATGCAATATATAACTGTACGGTCTTTTCAAAATAATCTACTTGGGGGAGTAGATTATTTGAGAGCATGCCATGAGTATTCCACTCGTACCTCCAAAACCTGTTATTGTAATTCCCATAATAGTCTAACCAAAAGCGATTTAATCTGGACAGCAAGTTTGGATACATCTGCAAATGCCATTTAAAATAAAAAATTAATTACTACAAAATGTATAAACCAATCAAAGTTTACATGTAAATGGCTAAGAATTGAGTTTATAAATTAATATAAATTATATATATATATATATATATATATATATATATATATATATATATCAATATTTTCTTTTTTTTTTTTGAAATTGTTTCTGGAAAGTTCACTAAAAACAGGTGTACCATGTTAAATAATAATAATAATAATAATAATAATAATAATAATAATAATAATAATAATTTTACCAAGTTAGGATTATATAACGGTGCCGTTGGAAGATTTTGACCTTGCGTAACTTGTGGCCAAAGGCCATGAATAGTGAAATCCTCTCTTATTTTAGCATATATACAGTTCACATGTGCACTCATTATAACTCTACAATAGCCCGGAGGCCAAAACAGTGATAAATGAAACCCATGCCAATGTGGAGGTGGAGGTGGAGGTGGAGGTGGAGGTGGAGGTGGAGAGGGAGGGGGAGGGGGAGGAAGGAGAGGAAGCTTAGATAGTTGCATATGTGAATTCAAATTTGAACAGATGGCATCACTCACTTTCAAACAAAGAAGAAGAACCACAAACACAAACCTATTCATTTTTTTTTGGAATAAAAACTCTAGTAATGAAGGTTGGTCATTAAGAGTGGCATATAATACCCTTTTATAATAAGATTTGTTGATCTCTTCTATGACACAACTAAATATACTAATTAGGTACTAATTAAGTTAGTCATGAAGGTTAAATATTAATATATATATATATATATATATATATATATATATATATATATATATATATATACTTAGGTACTAATTAAGTTAGCCATGAAGGTTAAATATTGATAGTTAATATATATATATATATGTAGACAACTAAATATACTAATTAGGTACTAATTAAGTTAGTCATAAAGGTTAAATATTAATATATATATATATATATATATATATATATATATATATATATATATATATATACTTAGGTACTAATTAAGTTAGCCATGAAGGTTAAATATTGATAGTTAATATATATATGTAGACAACTAAATATACTAATTAGGTACTAATTAAGTTAGTCATAAAGGTTAAATATTGATAGTTAGGGATGCAAATTTATTGATTTGCTTTCATGCTGAAATAATTATTGTAATTATTACACATTAAAAAGAGCTAATACCACATAATCCTCACTAATTTTGAATCATAGACAAAGCAAATCATTATTTAATTAACTTTTATGGAAGCATTAATTAAGGCAAAATTAAAGGTAATTCACTGAACCTCCTTGCAAGAGAAAAAATTACTAAATTTCTTTCTTAACCTATACATCAATACATGCATCGATGCACCAATGAACTTTGAGCTAATACTATACCTATCCTACTATACTATAATAATAAAGCCACATCCCTTTCGTAATTAAAATTAGATAAAAGTTTCCCGCTCAAGTAATACGGTGCCGTTTTATTGTTAATAATAACCAGCGCATCTTTTAGGTTTTAAGTGTATTGTCATTTAAACATCCGATGAAGCGTGGGTAATATAACTAGACAACTTTAACTGATCAAGCATCACCATCTGTGGCTATTTTGAAGTTAATGTCAGATGAATTCTCTCTTGTTTAGAGCATCCATAATAGAGAAGAATATGAAAATAATGTCAGATGAATTCTTTCTTGAAGATAATAATTGATGTAGGAAAGAAATAAATGAAAGAGATTTAAGGAGAAAGCGAGATTTAAGGAGAAAGCCTTGTAACAGCAAGGCAACAACCAAGCCCCGTGCACGCACCCGGCTGTGCGTCAAGCGCACCTGACATGCGTTTGGGTTATATATTTTTTTATTTAAAAATTCAGTTTTAGTTTTTTTTTCTCCCCTCCCACATTATCTTTCGTAATCACTCTTACATTCTCCCCTAATATCCCAACTGATAAGGATGCTCTTAGGATAATAGCAAATGTAGGGTGAATGATTTGAGAAATAAATCTCCTGCAACAACCCACATCATGTCAGATCCAAAAAAATAAAATAAAATGGAAGAAACAAGGGCTTAAAAATTAACACGTGAGGCGCGTCAGGCTGTGAATGAATAAATATTTAGAATACTGAATACACATTTAAGCAATAAAGCCAACTAAAACATTATGCACAAATAAATAGCTCAGTTTGATGGGTTGGGCACAGGTCAGGTTCAGGTTCGCCCCGAGCCTAAATATGTTACTCGAAAGTTTTCGGGCCCTGTGTTTTTAAATCCAAAACTGAACCCAAATTTAACGGGTTCTTTTTGGATTCAGGTACATCGGGTTCGGGTGATTAAACCCAAAAATATAAATCTTTTTTAAAAAATCAAAATTTCTAAATGTTCTGAGCTGGAAAGTTATACAAGTATTAGAAATAAAGTAATAAGACCCCCCCTATTACATCAAAAGGCATTGAGAAAATAAAGAAAGAAAATAAAATTCTAAAATAAACCTAAAAGATCTAAATTAATAATTTACAACAAAAAACTTTTTTAACATTACAACAATTTACTAATCTAATAAAATAATGATTAGAGACATGAAGCATAAATAACAATTTTTTTTTTTAAAAACAAAAAAAAGCAGTGAAAAATCCTTGTCAGTTCAGTTAAAGCTGTTGAAGTTGTATTCCCCCTCCTCAAATTCCATATGTTGCTACAATAAAAAGAAGAAAAGTGAGATAAATATCATTTCAATGTGTCATTTTGTAGTGCGACAATTCATGCATATATTTGAACCAATATCACTGTTATTTGAAGAGAGAAAGAACATAAATAGAGAAATGGTGTGACAAAATAATGTAATATTAGATTGGTTTGCAGATTCAAATAGCATTGCAGTATAAACAAGCTATTGCTATTCCAAAAGTAGGGAGAAGCAATTCACACTTCATTTGTCAAAGCACAAAAGAGAACAAAGCAAGTTAAGCAACTAAGCCAAAATGGTATTTCTTTCACCAATACAAATAAATACTTACAATATTTAAATGAGATAAGGGAGAAAAATCACTTGAATCAACCTTAATGCACATGAATTTGTAAGATCTACTTATTTTCAAATCAAAATTGATCTACTTGGCTATATCTACTAATAGTGTATTCGAAAACTATTAATAAAAGAGAAATTATACCAAAAGCATTTGGCAAATTAATAAAAAAAAAAAAAGAATTTTTTTCCAAACACAATTAAAAAACCCAAAACATATATTTTCGAGAAAATAAAAAGCCAAAAAAAATAGTAAATTACCTGTTAATGAGACATAGATTTTTTAGATATTTATGGCCAAGTTTGGTTTTTTCCCTTTGAGTAGGGGACCGCCAGTCGAAGCCTCAAAGATCTGCCCAGATCTACGTTGTGCTTAGCAGATCTAGGGTTTCCTGTGAAGAAAGTGTGAGAGAATGAACGTCAAAGACTATCCGTATGAGTAAATTAAAATTTAAAAGACTGAAATTGATAGGTTAGAGAGAACTCACCGAGAATGGGTTGAGTGTCTGAGAGCCTGAGCGAAGGCGAGAACCGAGAGGACCGAAGTCGGAGTCGCATTCCGGTGGAGAGGCGGAACCAGTGAACCACGGCGGAGAGTTGGAGAGGGTGTGAGAACTGAGAGCTAAGAGGCGGAGACTGGAGATTGGAGATGGTGAGACTTGAGAGAGTGATGGATGATATACTGAGATGAGATCTGAGAGACAAAGAACAGAGGAGAAGGGAATCGCAAGAGAGAAACAAGGCGGAACTCGAAAGCATAACACAACACTCCAGATTATCTAACCCTAACTATTATTTATATACTATACGTATATTACGGGTATCGAGTCGAATCCGAATCTAATATTTTAAACCCGCGAACCAAACCGAATTACTAGCCTTCAACACAGTTTTTATCGGGTTGGACCCGAACGGTTCATATCCGAACCGGACTGCATTTTTCCGAGTTGAACCCGCGAAAATTCGGGCTAGACCCGAAATATGCCCACCCCTGACCCAGTGTAAAAAGTAGAAATGGTTAGGGGTGCATCGTTCGGTTCGGTTAGGCGGATGGACAACCCTTTCGTTTCGGATGTTATTATGTAAACCCTATTTCATTCTATAACTAGTATTTGTCCCTGTGCGATGCACGGAATGAATTTGTTAAAATATTTTAAGAATATTTGAATCGATATATAATTATATAAATTATTATATCGAATATTATATAATACAATTGATGAATTGAGTTGGATCGGTTGTATTTTCTAATGTTACCATTGCTTGAATTCGATCAAATAATTGATCAAAATTAATAGTCAATGTGTAAATGTGCGCTTTAAGTACTGAAACTTTAGATATTTTAAATATCTGATCATTGAATTATATCTGGGGATCATATTTAATTTTGAGTGAAATATTAATATTCATTACCTTTTCCAATTGGTCTAATTTGTTTTCCATCTTTAAGCAAAATCTTCCTTACACATTCTATACATAATTTTACATCTTTATATATGTGTATTGTAATGAGGTCCTATAATTTTGAATAAAGATGTGCTACAAAATCAGTCATAATTAATTTCTTTTGAATCATCCATACGCATTGCAAAAACATTTCCATCTTTAATTACACAATTTTCCTTATAAATTGTGGATACTAAACGATTCTATTCAATTTTTCATTTGTAAATATATATATCTTTACACAACTATATTTCTAGTAACATATATACACACGTTTTTTTAAATATTTCCAGTAACTTTACATTTTATAAAATATATAACCGAGATTAATATTTTTTCCATCTCGGCTAAACTTTTTTTTTTTTTGACATACTCGGCTAAACCTTATAATTACACAATCCTTATATTCTTAGTATAAAATAACATTTGGTGTAAAAATTATTAATTTTCATATCAATTAATATTATTTCCATCTCGGCTAAACCTTATATTTCCATCTCGTATTGCAAAACATTTTCCATCTTTAATTACAAAATTTTCCTTATAAATTGTGGATACTAAATGATTCTATTTCATTTTCGATTTTTAAATACATATCTTTACATAACTATATTTCAGTAACATATATATACATATTCTTTTTATATTTCGAGTAACTTTATATTTTATAAAATATATAACCGAGATTAATATTCTTTCTATATACTGAGTCAGTTTGGAAGTATTTTTCATTTTCAGTCAATTATTAATAGTGATTTCCTATTTCAATTGGCCTAAATTTTGTGTCATTTTTATTCTCAGTCAATTATTCTTTTTAATACATATTAATTAATTAATTAATATTTCCACAAACTTTACATTTTATAAAATATATAACCGAGATTAATATTTCTTTCTATCTCGGTTAAACATTAAGATGCAAACTTCATTTTACATTTTTATTAATACATTTTATACTAGTAATTTTTATATTTTTAGTAATTTATTAATATTCAAGTATTAATATTCATTTCCTTTTTCAATTGACCTAATTTTCATAAAAAAAATTTATATTTCCAGTAATTTATTAATATTCAAGTATTAACATTCATTTTATTTTTATTTTTTAATCAATTATTAATATTCATTTCATTTTGTGCATTTGAGTCAGTTAAAAACATTTTTAATTTTCAGTCGATTATTTATAGTCATTTCCTATTTCAATTGACCTAAATTCCGTGTCGTTTTTATTCTCAGTTAATAATTATTTTTGTAATATTCTTTTAAATACTATAATTTCACTTATGGACATGCATGTGTGGGTAAATGAATAAAACAAATGAATATTCAAAGGAATGTAAACCCATTAAATCTTTCAATTTAAACAAAAGACATAAATTTAAAATTTAAAATTTAAAATATAAAATCTATATGCTTATTTGTGCAGTTTACTGATTATGTTTATTACCAATTAATTATATTACCAATTATATTATAAAATACAATACACATTATTACCAATTATGCTATTATGTTATTGCCTAATTAATATTTTTTGTACACAATATTATAAATAGAATATTTAATTAATTGAGTACAAAAGTTTGAGCGGAAAAATGAAATAGGAAGATTATATATATATATATATATATATATATATATATATATATATATATATATATATATATATATAAGAGGTATTATTTTTATAATTAAGGTATAATATTATTAAATCGAAATTATTTAAAATATATAGATCCACATTAAGAAAAATCTTATTAATTTTGTTTATTAAAATTATATATTTATATTAAAGGTGAAATTATAAATAATTAAGTTCCAATAAGTTTAGTTACTTCCTAAGTTATATATGGGTAGTAATGAATATTTTCTATATTAGATTATGCTTATATATGGTTTACCCGTATTAGCCATCACTATATTAGATTAATATATAATTATTTTAATATAATATATAATTAAATCTAAACATATGGTAAATATATTCAATATTATTATGAAAGTAGTACAATTCTAAATTTACAATTATAGCTTTGTATATGAAAAATAGAGAAACTTAAATAGTTTAAATCAAAATTATTAAAAACAATGCGTCTACCGTACAAAATAAATATACTTGATTTAATAATTAATTATTAATATAATTTCCTAATATAAATTTATAATTATTAATAATTATTTGTGGTAATTATTATGCATTAAAAAAATAAATAAAAATAATAAGAAAAACAGAAGAGAAAATAATATATAGATGCCATACGATATCTTACATATGGCAAATCAATAAAATTTAATCTAGAATTATAGTAGAAATAGGAAAAGTAGGAAAGAAAATATTATATTATGAGTTGTATTACCATATTTTAATGTACAATCTATATCTATATATCTATATATATATAAAAGTAAAATCCTCCAAACAAATTTTCCCCCTAAAACTTAGGGTCATTTATGTAAATTAATATATATTATGTTGTTTATGGAAAGAATAATTTGGGATTGGTACGTGTGAATTAATTAAGAATAAAATTAATTAGGAATATTAATATAATGACTTAATTAAGAATAAATCAATATAATAAATTAATTATGGCAATACTTTAAAGAATAAATCAATATAATAAATTAATTATGGCAATACTTTAAAGAATAAATCAATATAATCTATATATATATAAAAGTAAAATCCTCCAAACAAATTTTCCCCCTAAAACTTAGGGTCATTTATGTAAATTAATATATATTATGTTGTTTATGGAAAGAATAATTTGGGATTGGTACGTGTGAATTAATTAAGAATAAAATTAATTAGGAATATTAATATAATGACTTAATTAAGAATAAATCAATATAATAAATTAATTATGGCAATACTTTAAAGAATAAATCAATATAATAAATTAATTATGGCAATACTTTAAATAAATAAATACAATTTCCTTTTGAAAAATCTTACAAATTTACAATTCTCATATTTTTTACCTATAAATACAATGAGATGACTAAAAAAATTAAACTCTTCATTTTACATTGCATCCTTCTTTTCCCTTGAAGGGGACTCTCTCATCACCAATTTAATCATTGTGGTTCAATAGTTGCTCAAACTAATATGCATATTTCAATGCATTAAAGGTACAATTTCTCTTTTAGCTATTTCTATTTCTGTGAAAAAAATATATTATTTTTTCATTTACATTCTTTATCATGTATTTGTCCAGGTCGATGCCACTTTAGACCAGCTGTAGTTGCTCTGACTAAGCCGATGCAGAAATGTTTAATTTTTTTAGAAACGTATATTTTTCGTATTATTTTTGTCTGTAATTGATCTTCCATAGTTTTTAATTATTGTTTTTTTTTTTTAATTTTGTATTATATGTATTTTTTTTTTTGTATTATTGTTTTGTTTCAAACAATAATTTTGTAATATTGTTTATCTATTTTATTTTCAGGCATGATTTTTGTTATTTGTGCGATGCAATGGTTACGGAGTCAGTAGGGGATACTATAGAGAGAAAAAAATCGATGGCAAGATTCAGAAGAATGTTGTGGAAAGTAGTTCCTCTTCATCTAATGAACATACTTCTTCTTATTCTGAGAAAGAATTGAAGGCCAATAAATTAAAATATCTCTATATGCATACTTAAAAGTACCATTTAGTGTTTTTTGCTTTTATTGACCTAAACTTGATTTCCTGTAATTAAATTCTTATAAAACCAATGTTCTTATATTTTTTGTTTGTTTCTAGAGTATGGATTATTTGTTCCATACATTTTTTATTTAAATATATTGGTTGTGTTTTAAGTACTGAGTATCTGATGGTATTTTTTTATTGTTCTCTTTGTGTTATGCAGGGAGGATTTTATTTTTTATTAATAGAATACAATATTATATGATTAATATTATTAAAGTAAGAAATTTATATATGACAAATTACTATATATAATTATGGTAACGTTTTATTTAAAATTTAAAGAAATTAATTTTTTTCTATACTATTAATAAAAATAAATTTTTTCTATGTACAATAATTGTATATTAAAATATAGTAATACAATACCTAATATAATATATTCTTTCTTACTTTTCCTGTTCTTACTATAATTATAGATTAAATTTTCTATCAATTTGCTTATGTAAGATATCGTATGACATCTATATATTATTTCCTCTTCTGTTTTTCTTATTCTTTTTATTTTTTTTAATGCCTAATAATTACCACAAATAATTATTAATAATTGTAAATTTATATTAGGCAATTATATAAATAATTAATTATTAAATCAAATATAATTTATTTTGTATTGTAGACGCATTG